AAACTTTTCTTTTCAAAGCACAATTACTATTTTTTAAAGAAAAAACATTTTTATTCAAAGAAGAATTATTCTGTTCAAGCTTATATCTACCTTCAGAAGTAATTACATGGGATTTTTTTAAGATCCTTGTATTTACGTTGAAGAGTTTGATATCTCTCCAGCATTTCTGAAAGACCCAACTCTAATTTACAACGAGAGAGTTTAGATAATACCTCTGAGTCTGAGTCTGAGTCTGATTCTGATAGCATTTTGTCTTCTGGTTCTCCAGAGACTTCAGCGTTAATTGTTGTTGCCACTAGTGCAACATTTGCCTATTCTTCATCAAATTCTTCTTCTTTAGAATCAGAGTCGTCCCAAGTTGCTATGAGTCCCTTCTTGACTTTGGTGAAGTTCTTCTTAGGCTTCTTGTCTTTCTTAAGCTTTGAACGCTCGTTCTTATAATGACCTGACTCATTACACTCATAGCAGATAACTTCTTTTCTTGAACTTTGCTTCTTTTGTCCGGATGATGAGTTAGAATGACCATTGTTCATTCTTGATCCTCTTAAATTCCCTTGCTTATGTATCCAGAGTTTGTTGATCCTTCTGGAGATAAGTGATAACTCATCTTCTGAGTCTTCATCAGAATCTTTTAATTCTTCCTTAGCTTGATAAGCATTTGCTTTTTCAGGTTTAGACTTAAGAGCAATAGATTTACTCTTCTTCTGAGGTTCATCTTCCTCCAACTCTATCTCATGACTTCTTAAAGAACTAACAAGTTCTTCAAGACTTATACTATTCAGATCCTTGGATAGTTTAAGAGCAGTTACCATAGGTCTCCATTTCTTAGGAAGGCTTCTGATGATCTTTTTGACATGATTAGCAGTTGAGTATCCTTTTTCTAGAACTTTAAGTCCCACAATTAGCATTTGAAACCCTGAAAACATATTCCCAACTACTTCATCATCCTTCATTCTAAATGCCTCATATTTCTGAATTAAGGCAAACGCCTTTGTCTCCTCATACATTCAAAAATGGACTTGGCAGTATCTCTGTTTATTATCTTCTCATACTCAGTATAAGAGATATAGTTTAACAGTATAGTTCTTGTCTTGTGATGATTCTCGAAATCTTTCTTTTGTTGGTCGGTCATAGCACTTCTAGACACTTTTACTCATGTATCATCAACTGGGTGAATGTAGCCATAAACTACGAGATCCCAAAGATCTACATCGTAACCAAGAAAGAAACTTTCAATTCTATCTTTCCAGTAGTCAAACTTTTCACCATCAAATACTGGTGGTTTGGCACTGTAATAATCTTTCGCTTCTTGAATAGGATTAACATTAGTTGCAGCCATGATATCTCACATAAATACTGGATTAGTACTGAACACGGTGAAATGTTGATAATTTTTTATCATAATCAGAACCAGACTCTGATACCAATTGAAAGTGTGAGAAAATACAAGAAAGGGGGTTTGAATTGGGTTTTCAAAAATGAAAGTTTTTTGTGAAACTCAAACAAAGATCACAAAGATACTAACAAGAGAGAAAGACACACGATATATCCTGGTTCACTTAAAAACTATCAAGCTAATCCAGTCCACACGCCAAGGTGATTTCGCCTTATACACAAGGACTTAATCCACTATAATCAATTGATTACACTGCACTAGCAACCGCTGGTGACTAACAACCAAAAGACTAACTATCTCTTAAGGATTCTGACCTAACTGGTCCTTTAAGGAATTACAAACTACAGTTTGAACAAGAATGTTTACAATGAGTTGCTTCTACACAAGCAGATATAAACATTATTAATAGCTCAAATGACTTAAAGAAAACTTATACAGTATGAACAATGTTCTTTCTTTGTATTGTGGTGCTTCAGTACTGTTGCTTCAGTTATTCATAGTTCGTCTACTTTTTGTCATTCATTCTTATTATTTTGTTCAAGTAATCAAGTCCTTAATATAGCCAGAAAAAGATTCGTTGGAGGGAAAATTAGGAATATCCTTTAGATAGCTGGCGACTTAAAATAATGTCGTTACGCAGGGATGAAAATCATACACAAAAGTTGTCCTTTGTACCACCAAATCAGGGTAGTGTAATGGTAGTGGAATAAAATATGTTTGATATGTACTGTGTACTATTTCCCTTGTAAATGTTTGATCTTATCTTCTGTACATCAGAGGCTTCTGAATAGAGATAATTGAAGCGCGAGTAGAAGAGTTGATCACAAGGTCTTCAGAGTCTTGAGTCTTCAGAACTTGTTCACCAAAACCTTGTCTTCAGAGTCTTAAGCACTCAATCTTTAGAATCCTTGGTCTTTAGTAACTTAAGTCTTTGGAGTCTTCAGAATGTTGTTCAGTAGAACTTTTTCTTCAGAGTCTTCAACACTTAATCTTCAGAAACTCAAGTCTTCAAAGTCTTCAGAACTTTGTTCAACAGAACCTTGTCTTCAAAGTCTTCAGCACTTAGTCTTCAGAAGATAATGACTTCAGAAGCTAGACAACCTTCAGAAGCAAGACATCAGAGTCACGCTCAGAACCAGAATCCAAGAGATCATTGCAGCATCAACATATTATCTTCTTAGAATCTTTCTGAATGTGAGTAGATCAGAAGCAGACTTGCTTTTATGATGCAGAAGCGACTTTGGTCAGATCAGAGTGATGTTACACATGGTCTCTATCAAAGTCAGAGCTTTCTCTATCAGAGTTAGAACCTATTTGTTAATCCTTCAAAAAAACAAACGTTAGAGTACCAAAATTATTATCACACAAATACTACTTTGTTATTATCAAAACTTAGAGATAATGAGTACAACCAAATCTTGTTCTAACACCCTTTACTTCATGTTGTCCACCATGGACATCTTGCAGATACTCAGGAGTAGAGTTTGCTGCTGTAAGTGGAAGTTTGTTTCTGGAGTTACTTCTTTAGTTTCATATTTGGTTTATAAGTCTTGCTCTAATCTTGTACATCAAGGTTATGAGCATTTGTTTGCTTATTATGTTTTGTTGGAGTTTAATTATTTTATTTAGTTTATGTTGAAGTTGTTAAAGAGTTAAATATGATAACTCTTTATTTTGAAAACAATTTATTATAATTTGACGATTGAGACTACAAGTCTAAGTTGTAATCTTTTATTATTTGGAATAAGGTTGATACTACCACGATGATACCCTAAGTGAAGGTGAGTGTACGATGACAAACGTGGTATGACATTGATATTTTTGTTGCGTGTTTGTCAATTGTTTGATTTATTAAAGGTTTTGTCGTTGGTGACATCTTAGATTGTCGTGTAAAGCTTAATATATAAGTTTCGGTGTTTATGGTGTTACATAGTGGTATAAGAGCCTGGTTGGACCATCCAGCTAGGTTTTTGACATTTTGTTTGATCCCTGGTATGTGAATTGTGTGTTAAACACTGTCGGTACACATTTGTTTTTCTAACCGCTTTCTTGTAGGAGCATAATTGAAACAAGTGGGGGAGAATCTTCTACTTCTCTAAGATGTTTCAGGTGTGGAGGATTGATTCAATATGCTGCTGATTGCAAGGGTGTAGGTTGTTGGATAAGTCAATGGTTTTTCTTGAGTTGGTTGACAATGAAGATTCGAAGTTCATATCAACTGTTTTGACAAGACAGTGTCATTTCCAGAGTTTGAGATAAGGGATGTGTTATTTGTGTCTGCTAAACAAGTGAATGAGCTCATAAGGGAAGATGTTAAAATGTTTATGATTTTAACTTCCATGAAGGTAGAAAGAAAAGTTGTGATTAGAGAAACTACCAGTGCTGTGTGATTTTCCAGAAGTGTTTTTTGATGATATCAGTGACTTGCCTCCAGAGCGCGAAATTAAGTTTACTATAGGCTTAGTACATGGTACTAGTCTTATATCAATGGTTACTTATCGAATTTTTGCTTCAGAGTTAAGTGAACTAAAGAAGCAATTAGAAGATCTACTCGAGAAGAAATTTATTTGTCCAAGTGTTTCGCCGTGGGGTGCACCGATGTTACTAGTCAAGAAGAAAGATGGTAGTATGAGGTTATCTGTTGACTATAGAGAGTTGAATAAGGTGACTATAAAGAACACATATCCATTTCTAAGGATTGATTATTTGATGGATTAGTTGGTAGGTGCTTATGTGTTTAGCAAGATTGATTTGTGTTCGGGTTACCATCAGATTTGTGTGAAGCTGGAAAATATTCTGAAGACTGCTTTCAGAACAAGGTATGGTCATTACGAATATTCAGTAATGTTATTTGAAGTGTCTAATTTACCTAGTGTGTTCATGGAGTACATGAATAGAATCTTCCATCTGTACTTAAATTAGTTTGTGATTGTGTTCATCAACGATATCTTAATATATTCGAAATCTAACGAATAGCATGTGGAACATCTGAGAGTTATAAAAGAAGCAGTTATACACTAAATTGTCTAAGTGCGATTTCTGGTTGCGAGAAGTGAGTTTTCTACATCATATGATTTTTAATGGTGGTATATTTTTGTATTTTATTGAAATTGATATCTAAATTTTTTTAATGAAAATATTTAAAAATTGTATGAGACTAATATTATACTGTTGCATAACAATAAATGACTCATTCTTAAAACCGCCTACTTTTAAAATGTGATTTAATAGATATATAGAGAAGAAGAATATAAATAAAAATATGAAAAAATATATATTTAAGTATAAATAAAATAATTAGGAAAAGAATCTGAATGAACTAAAACGACATCGTTTCTTGACAGTGTTCCAAATTATTTCACAGGTACACAAACCCTTTTATTTTTACTTCCTCTGGAAGCAGAAAATTATTCTAATCTCATCGGTAGCGAACACTCAAAGGATCATCGTAGTTTTCATTCTTCCAAAACCTGGTAACCACTTTCTTCTTCTGTTTCTATGCTTTTCTTTTTCTTTACCAAACTTAGGGTTTTTCTTTTTCTTCACTCTCCTTACAAATTTATGCGCTTTTGGGTTTAAATTAGTTACAGATTCAGATTTACATATGGCGACCGAAGCAAAGGCTGTTACCGAGGATGTCAAAATCGATCTCTTTGAAGATGACGATGAGTTCGAAGAGTTCGAGATCAATGAAGGTTTAACTCACTAATCTCATTCTTTTGCTGATGCAATTATTTTCGCTTCTGTTTTAGGTTTACATGTGTTTTTGCTGATTATTCATTGTTAAATGCTTTATCTGTAGTCAAATGTTGCTTATGACTTATTAATATATTTGATCTTAGGAATTTTTCAATGATGTTATCATCAGATGTTTCATAAGTGACATTCATTGGTTTGTTTCATGGAAGAAGTCGGTTGTTTGATCAATTAGGGATTTCATTCTGTGTTGTTGCAAATTTGAGTAGATTTTTTGTGTTTTCAATCCAATTAATTTCTACGAGAAACAATTTTCTTCTTAAAAACTGATAATTTTTATGCAAGGTTGCTAGTTAATTTGTTAGGGGGAAATTTTAGCAGTTGGAACCGAATTCTAGACTTCAGTGTACCAACCCAAACAACTAGACTACTCCTTTTGTCATTTTATACTGCACCTCACCACTTCCTCTATTGTCAATAGTGCGCGCTATGACGGAATTGTGTAGCAGTGGTAGTGTTTGGTGCTTTTGGCCTGCAACTGCCATCAACAATAGCGGTTGTAGTGGACTCTAATTGTGGCTCCAAACTGCTATCGCAGCTGCTAATAAGGTTTCGGAGCGAAATTTGTCAAAGCTTTTTATTTATTAAAACTGTCTTTTTTTAAGGGACCCTTTAAGAGTAATATTATATTATTCATTTTGTTATGTTCTTGCTCACAAACAATCGATATGTTCTTTCTATTTTTTATTCAGTTCTGATATGCTTTTCTTCCTCGTTTAAGTTTTATTGCTCTTTACTTTAGGTTTTTTTGATTATTAAATATGAAGGTCTCTTTAATTTTTCCTTTTTCTATTTGAGTATTTATGTTTACTTTGCGCACTTGTTTTTAGTCTTTGCAATAGGGCTATCTTGCTATCCGGTATAGCATCTTAGGGGGTCAGTGCTTTACAACACTATATGGATTAACAACATAGCTCTGTACTTTAAGTTCTTTAATTATTAAATATTATGAAGGTCATTTTAATTTTTTTTTCTATTTTTCTATTTTTCTATTTTTGGGTATTTATGTTTACTTCGCACACTGGTTTTTAGTCTTTGCAATAGCGGATAGCCCATCCTCTTTAGTATTTTAAGAGGTTAGTGTTTTGCAACGCTATCTGTGATTAAGATTAACAACTTAGCTCTATTCAAATGTATAAGATGCTATTTAAATATAAATATCTACTATTAAATCACATATACTTACAAATGACTGAATTGTCTGAAGTTTTGTATGTATAATTGTCAAGCTGTTTTATCAAATATCTGCCACGGTGGCCCTATGGTGGACGTCTGATATTGTGGGTTTTTCTGCCATAATTCACTTTAACGGCGCCGCAAAGCGGCTGGTATGGCAGGATTTTGGCTCTCCACCATCGACAACACTGCCGTCAAGATAATATAATATGATGCAATGGCTAGATTGGTTAAATTCGCTTTGTATGCAGAGTTATTGAATATGTAAATTTGCTATTTTCTATTTTTCACACCTGGTGTCAATGGACCGTCACACACACGCACAAACATCAAGTCAGACTTTTATATGTCTTCTCATGGGTTTCTCATTAGGCATGAACACTTTTAGGGTGCAGATAATAGGTTTCATAGTTGCTTGGATCGTATTTAGTTTAATTTTCAGTTGCCAATAATGGCATTTGTGAGTATTTTTGTGTTATATTATTCAACTTGGTTTGCTTGAAAACTTGAAATTCGGGGGTTTTGAATTCACACTCACATTCTAATGTTTCTTTTTGCACTTTGTTGTTTTACAACTTACAGAGTGGGATGACAAGGAGGAAGGTAAAGAAATAGCTCAGCAGTGGGAGGATGATTGGGATGATGATGATGTTAGTGACGATTTCTCTGTTCAGCTGAGAAGGGAGCTGGAGAGCACTACAGAGAAGAATTAAACCACCTGCTGGCTATTATTGTTTGATATAATATGTGTGATGAGTTACGACTTAGGTATTTGAGGTGTTTACTTACCTACAAAAAAACTTAAACGATGCTGTGTTAGGAAGGAAAAGTAAGAACAGAACACGAGGAAATAATTCACATGTTATTTCTTTGAAACATCTTCATAGAAGTTATTGCGTACTTGTTTTTGTTTTTCAGTTGAGTTCTGTGATTCTATAGATTTGTTGGTGTCTCGCTTTACCACCTATGCTTTTCACACTATTGTTGTTTTACCAGGGCTTAAATTTTTAATGTTTGAGTTTTGGAGTTGAGATCTTATTACGAATGTCATATTCGGCGCTTTGAGCTGTTGATCTTATTACAGTTTGTCTTTAGCCAAAAGCAAATTTGCATGCAGGTTAAAATTGTCAAATAGTACGAGAGAAGGTTCTTCATTACCATGTTGATAAGAATAATGCTATGAACACACTTTTTAGTAAACTTCTTGACACTAAATTAAGCGGTTGAAATTTCTACAGGTCTCATCAAAGTATGTGGATTCTATATAAATATGTTGGGATTCATATGAAATTTAACTTGTTTTTTAAACAATATGTTACTAGCATTTTTCTTATTGGCAAATGTCACCCGCCTTATTGACAAATATCTTAACTCTCTAGATATCTTCTTGCTTTATTGAGTTAAGCTTGAAATTGTTGGTGAGAAATACTGTCCTAGTATTTGATTGCTTACCTAATACATTTGTTTTAATGAAATTCTCATTGTGTTTTGGTAACATGTGAATTAAAATAAAACTAAAGGAAAACGGTAATACACTTCTAATGCCAGGCTATGATTTTAACCATGAGATTAGGACTGACAATGAATCGAACCAACTTGAAAATAATTCGGAATTTGATTCGACAATTAAATCGTTGAACTAGGTTCATGAACTAAATGAGTTGAGTATGAGCGAAAAATTAAGTTTGTTAACTAAATGAACTGAACTTGAATTATACATAGTTCAACTCGTTAAGTTCATGAGTCAACTCGATTACATATCATCAACTCGTTAGGTTCGATTACATATCAGAAGAATTATACTGTCTTTAAGATTAGGTTTAAATATTTATTCCAAATCTTAGACAAATTTAATCTTCAATTTAGTAGTTTTTGAATTAGACTCTCAAATGTATCTCTTAAAAGTTGTGTAGATTTTGAATGAGTAGATTTCAGAGATAAAGTTAAATTTCAATATGATAACTTTTATTTTATTTTAATATTTTATTTAAAAAATATATATTTATTTAAAATGTCAAATATTCTAAAAAATATAAATATTTTAAAAAATAGTTTTTAAGTCCGTGAATCATTTGAGCTGAACCTAATGAGATGAACTTAACGAGTTGAACTTTCGTGAATTTATAACAAGTCGAGTTTGAGCTTAAAAAAAAGTTCGTGTCAAACTCGAACTCGAACTCGAATAATTCTTAACGAGTCGAGCTGAGCTGAGGTGAGTTCGACTCGACTCATTTCCAGCCCTACATGAGACCCAAATAGAAAGATTTAGTTCCAAGGATTTGGAACTCAAAAATCGCTCCTTTGTGTAAAGGCAAGTCAAACAATTTATTGAAAATAATTAATTTGGATGAGTTCATTAATCAACGTCCAGATTCATTTCTTAAGATTTTCGTTAATAATTCATCTTTTCTTTCTCTGCTAATAATTTTAACTTCACCACTGCTGCTGCATGGTTAACCATATGCTAGTTACTAGTCAAAAATTTCCACCAACCATTGCAGGCATACTAAGTATAACCACAACAAAACGATCAAAATAGATCACATGGTGTTAGATATATACAAATTTACACAATGTAACTAGTATATCTTCCATCTCTCTCTCTCTCTCTCTCTCTGCACCTTTCCATTTCTAGTATATCTCTAACACATGGCCACAAACAGCAACATTAAATTTGGCCATTCACCAAGTCGAAAAGACAGAAAAAAAAAGCACAACTTTTGTAGTGGTTCCTATTATTTCAACTAAAAACCTGTTAACAACACCACCCAGCAATTTGAATGGATAAGCTTTTCACAACCAACCACAGAGAGAATGATGTTTGACCCTTTCTACATTTGGCATGAAACTAAATCGATTCTTCTACCAGTGCAATTAGTACAACAGTAACTCAATAAAACAGAATCACAAAAATATTTACCAATCTTACCAAAGGTAATAATAGAAAAACTTACAAAACATTACACCTGAGGATTTCACTTTTCAACAAAACAGAATCTCTATGGCATTTCAATTTCTACAATATCAGAATCAGAAACAGTACTTTCTTCTCTCATAACTACTCTTGAATGAACCCATGTTCTACAAATCGGACAAAACGGTTTCTTCAGAATCCACAAGTCTATGCACTGAACATGAAAACTGTGTCTGCAATTAGGCAACAACCTACAAGCATCACCAACGTTAAAACTCTCCAAGCAAACAGCACAGTCGACAACGTTGCTGTTGTTGTTGTTGTTGTTGTTTCCTTTCTCTTGTTCCACATAATCAAAACAAGGAAGATTCTTCAAGTCACCAATATTGTCGCCAAACATTCCTTTTGTTGTTCTGCTAGTACTACTCTGGACTTGAATGTCTGCACTATTATTATCCCTCGTAAAAGCTCTACCAACTATGCAGAAATGGATAGAAACCAGAATAGCAATCCCAACGAATAAGATTATCAAAGAAATGACAATTTCCATTACCATAGTTTTCGGTGTAATTTAGTTTCGGCTGGTGAAAAAACTAAGACAAGGTTCAAACATACTTATGATACAATTTGTTTCCTCCTCAATGACAACACGACAATATAGAAGCTCAATCACATATTTGTAGTAGCTACGGCAATCTACCTGGCTGGCTGTTCTTATTGTCACTTATTTATTTTTAATTATTATTTTTAATCAAAAATATTAGAGAAAATCACTACTAATAATTATGAATTTTGTATTATTGAGCATATAGATACAGAATTTAGTGGTGGTTGAAGTCAAGAAAATTCCAAAGCAAAGTAGCAAATTATAATAATAGTAAGGACAAATATAGAAAAGTTTAGTTTAATTAGGACATTACATGTGTTAATAGAGGAGCCAGGGTGACATGGTGGGGTGTAGCACATAACAATGTTTGGTACACAGAGCCTCACTGGGCTAGTTCTAGTTCTGTCTCTGTCTTTGTTGTTAAATTCCAATTCCTTGATTAAGGCCTTAATTATATTTAGCATATGATTATAACTCATGTATAATTCACACTCTTTGTTTTTAAGGAACCTCAAAAGAAGAAATTTTGATTAGTGCAGAATAATTTTATTGGGTGAGATAGGCATCAAGTAGTTAAGAGGAATAATACAGTTCAACCTCCAAATTATTTAGTGGTTGGTTGATTAAAGTATCAAAACTCAAATCAAGACTACTTTATACTACTAATGATAATGACTTGACCAACTTCATTTTTGCTAGAACACAAAGTGCATTTTGGATTTGTTGTATTATTTTATTTGTTTGTGGATTGAAGGGTCATCTTATTATCCAAAAATATTATGATTTTTCTAAAGACTTTCATTTTTGACAAAGTTAGCATTACTGCATTAATGTTTAGTTTATGTTATAATTGCAGTACCAAGAGAGTTTTGTGGTCCATGTTTTATGTTAGCAGTGCATTTTCTTTAGACCTTCAACTTATATACTACTATGATTGTGAAATAACACCAAATGTGTGTTGATGTGGGTTTTTGGATTTGTACTAACATTATTTTTCTTACCAAATATAGGTGTAATATGTGAAATGAATTTGATGCAGTAAAGTATTTTCAATTGTTGCCATAAACAAATGCCAAAACTATATACTTCTCATTTCCTGTTATATGCTAAACAGAATTTTTTGAATTCTCTTTTTCATTCATTTTGCTTAGAAATTATTTACTTAATGTCCAGTTAAAATGATGGACTGGGGGCACAGGACAGAGGCTGAAATTGCTGCATTCACACAAGAAGTTGTTGCTTGGCATAAACTAATCATCCTAATGTCACAAAAGGTACATTTCTTTTCTTTACCTTCAACTTTCTCTTGTTGTGTTACTTGTTCTTAGGTTCTATCTTCAATCTACGTGAGATTTTGATTATTCCCAATACACCCCCTCACGTCCAGCACCGTTGAGTTCAGTGCATGGAAGTAAACTGTGGATGACATGTAGCTTGAATCGATAGACTCTGATATCATGTTACATTTCTCGATAGAAATCATAAAACTAGAGAAAAGTGTATGCAATAATGAGATTGTAATTTTACATGAAGAGGTAGAAAGCTTATATAGCCAATTAGAACAAACAACTAATCAATCCTTGTTTTTTCACCAAAGATACACATATTGATTCCTTAATGGTTTATTTTACTATGGATCAAGGCCCTCGGCGCTTACCGAAGCAAAGACAACCATGTTGCTGATCAAAAGGGACCATACCTCCACCTTTGGATGTGTCAATAGCCTCCAACATGGCAACTACCTCATCCATTTCAGGTCGCTTATCGGGATTCGCATCCCAGCATCTTTTCATTACATTTGCTATAGAACTTGGACAGCATCTTGGTATTTCTGGTCTAACATTCTGAAAGTTCAATACAAACTAGTATATTAATAACCATGGATTCATTATGATAGAAGATCGAAATCGGAAGAATATATATACCTGGCGAACAACGGCTGATGTAATCTCTGAGAAACTGAGGTCAGGATATGGCATGTCACAACAATATATTTCCCATAAACATATGCCAAAACTATATACATCACATTTCCTGTTATAAGGGTTTCCATTTAAAACCTGTAAACCATCATCATCATCATCATCCATTTGTCAAATAAGTCACAAGTAAATTACTCAGCTTTCTAAGAAAACTGTCCACACACACCTCAGGAGCCATGTAACCAAGTGTTCCGGTCTCCCCGGTCATGTCATTAGGATTCAATGCTTCAATACGCGCAACTCCGAAATCAGCAATTTTAACAGTTCGCGTCTTATCCAACAGCATGTTCTCTGTCTTCACATCTCTGTGGACAATCTTCTGAGAGTGAAGATAATTCAGTCTGCAAATCAAAGTAAACATATAACAAGTCGGTCTTTGTTCTCGACAAGTAATAAAGCACTGTTACATTGAGGAAAAATTCACAAAAAGGATAAATACCCTCTAGCCATATCAAGTGCTAGCTGCACGACGATCTTAAAAGCTAACTTTCTCCTCCTATTCTTTATTAAGAAGGATTTGAGTGCGCCTCCGGGAAGATACTCTACAACAACACAACAAATATTGTTTGGCATGCTAATTACACCATTATCAGTTTGTATCTGCAATTCAGATGATCCCATTGTTGCCCCTATAAACTAAAAACGGAGAAAAAAAATGTTATCGTTGCCATTATAGACCGTTGAATAACCATTTCCAGAGAGCAAAACTATCTCTTGATAATCCAAACAAGAACAATATATTCAAAATAGCAACACAAGAGAGTTGAAGGTAAAGAAAGGAAATGTACCTTAGTGACATTAGGATGATCAAGTTTATGCCATACAACAACTTCTTGCGTGAACGCAGACCTGAGTGCGGCAATTTCAGCTTCTGTCCTGTGCCCTTCTTCACCCCAGTCCAGCATTTTAACTGGACATCAAATAAATAAGCACAAAATGATCATAGCAAGAACAATAATAAATATTTATACTATGATAAATGAAACTTTGAAAATAAACATGCAATTTAACTTGAATGAGATGAAATTGATCCCTAAAGTTACCAGCAACATCTTGAGCATCATAAACACCACGGTGAACAGTACCAAAAGTTCCACGAGCTATAACACTCTTGATGATGAGTTGAGAAGGATCAATTTCCCACTCTTGTCTTTGATTCTTGTTGAAGACAGCACCATTACCAGGGGCAACAGAGTTTGATACGTCATCATTATGATCTATAGCCAATGTTTTGTTGAGGTGTTTCTCGAGTTGCTCATCTATGTTCTTGAGATCAATTTGATCAGCTCTCATAAATCCATCATTCTTTTGCTTCATTTTCTTTCTCTCTGTCTTCACTCTATCTTGTGTTTGTGATTATAGGTGCAGCTTAAAAACCGGTAGCAATGAAGAGTATGGTGGTGGCTGTTTGAGGTGTCGTTTTCCATTATGCCGGAAAACCGCGACGGCCCCTCCAATAATCCATGTCGGCACATGTTGTTGTACGTGAAAACACATGCATCTGTTTTATGAGTAAAATTCAGAAAAAACTGAAAATTTTTGCTCTCATTGAGAGTTGAACTCAAGACCTCCCGCTTACTAAACGGGTGCTCTAACCAACTGAGCTATGAGAGCTCTGATGTACGATTAACCTCATAAAGTTTTTTCAATTTTTATTCCACTGTTATGAAGGTTGCAGCCAAAACTTGTGCGCCTTCTTCTTATTCTTCAAAGAGCATAGAGGTTTTGTTTGTCTTCAATTCGTTGTCGTGCTAGCTCATACTAAAATGTTCAATTTCTTGGTTTATCTTATGGAATATTAGAAAATTTCATTACCAATGAAGAGTTTAAAATAATATGTTTGTTTTTTAGGATTTTAAAACTAATAAATAGTGAAATAGTCATTTAAGTGTTTTTAATTAATTACAATAAATTCGTTTATATATACTTTGTAAAAGATAAATCATGTGGTGCTGCGTTTTCTAACTTTTCGAATATATAAATATAGATGCGGTTTGACTCACGAATACATAAATTTAAATTAAATTAATATATTAATTATTCGAATTTATTTATTTATAGGTGTACGAAATTCAACCTAAGACAATTTAGATAACTTTGATTCGGATATCAAATTTGAGTTTTTGAACTCACATATTCGTTGACATGATAATAGTAGTTTTTATTATTTTATTATTATTTTAACCAAAAAAGAAAAAAGATATGACTATTAACTCATATTTTTCATTCGCCGCCAATATCACTATTAGACACCAATGAATCTACTTAATATATATTTTTTGTATGGGTGAGGGTCAAATGGCTCAAGAAAAAGCAAACTACAAATATATCTTCCTAGAGGAGAAATCCTCCAACCTATCTTTTGCTAAATGCTCAATAAAACTTGGAGCAATAGTGAAGCGAGACAATTCCGAAGACAATTTTCACCTGCCTTTAGCCAAGGCATCAACACGCTAATTCGCTTCTCTAAAAAATGCGCAACAATAACTTCATCAAAGCGGCTAAGAAGACTCTCAATCTTCCTTAGCATCTCAAGGTCGTCAATTATACTAGCTCGACCTTGATTAAGATCCATAGCGATTTCTGAGGAATCAATATTAACTTCGATTCTCCTGAAACCTAAGTTTAAGGCAAACATCAATCCTTCAAGAATACCTCATAACTTCGCCAAATAGCTACTATAAATCCCCACATTCTTGGCGAAACCACTTATCTAGGAACCCTCTTCATCTCTAATTAAGCCCCCACACCCTGCAGATACACCTTCAATGCAAGCTTCATCCACGTTCAGTTTAACCATTCCCAATTTAGGAGGTAACGATTTGACAAGATGAACCTCCTTACTTCTACCCACAACCTTGTTATTAAAAACCAAGGCTTCTTCATGCTTTTTCACCCAATCAGACACAAACACACTAGTATTCCAAGGCCTAACAAAATTCTCCACATGTTCCTCTTTATTTCTCC